ATAGTTTGTGCGTGGTGGTTGGCATTATGTATGCATTCAGCCAATGCGGCCAATACTGAGCCGTTGAGCCAGTGTGAAATAGATTGCAACGCTTAAAAGTCGAAAGGGGGTAGATGCATTAGAAGGCAGAGACGTGTTTAGTGGAGAGGAATGAGTAGCTAGTAGCCATATTTGAGTAATTTGAACATGTTATGCACAACTAACCAAAACCAGGAAATGTTTAGGTACCACGCTGCGTCGAATTGTGAACTTCTCCAGCGTTGCGGTGGCTGCTAATTCTGTATTGATTGATGTAGATATGACTGGGTGATATCTCGCTGTTCGAGGTAAGTCTAGAGACTAGACATTTATTTCGTTGAAGTTATCCGAAGTGTATAATTTATTCCGAAGGAGAAACAGTTGCCATCAGAAGGTCCATTCAACCAGCGTGTTTGCAATACGAGTTAGCAGAGAAATATGTGGAGTAGAGTAAATTGTGTTATTAAGTACAGTTTTACTGATCATGCTGTCCACTGGCTATAGAAGAGGAATATGTACTGCAGCGTAATATTGTGCCAGAAGGTTTGCCTGGTACGTATGTTAATGATTTAAAACTGAACATTCCTTTCGTTAATTTTTCAGGGAACTAGAAATTATCCCATTTCCCTTTTGTCAAGTACATATTTCAGGCTGACATAGACACCTCATCTAGCTGTAACTAAATGGAACAGGTTCCTTGTTAGAAGCCTAATAACTCAGATCAGCTAGTCTAGAAGTTTCTGGCATTTTGTGGAACCTGAAAGTTCGTTACAATGTTCACAGCAGCCTCCATCTAGCTCCTTTCCCAAACCAGATGAATCCAGTACATGACCTCCCATCCTGTTTCTTCATCATGCATTTTAATAGTATCCTGTGATCACAACATAGGTGTCCCAAGTGGCCTGTTTCCTTCAATTTTTCCTATTGAAGCAATGCATGTGTTTCTCTTCCCTCCAATACATGCTGAACCTCCTTGATTTGAGTATCCTAATTATGTTAGATGTTGAACATAAATCATGAAGCTCCTTGTTATGGGTCATTCCACATCAGATCTGTGCAGAAAAGAAACATTTCTGGCCTGACCCCCCTAAGAATTGAAGGATTTTTTGGTGAGATTATAGGCACAATGGGGATGAGTATTCCTGCCAAATTTCACTACTTTATGGCTCTGCAGACTTCCTGAAATAGTAAAAAAAAAATGTTTTTTTGGTCAAAAGTTGTCTTAGAAAAAGTGGCACAACTTCTTCCCTAGTAAAGACACAAAACTCACGTTCTGCTCATTTAGAAGGCAAAGAAATTCCTTGCCAGAGACATTACACCAATGCATTCCTGCAAGATGTTCATATTTGACCTTGTATTTTTCAACTTCCATTATTTTAATTCCTTTGAGAAAATATATTGTGGGCGTGAAGCTGTTATTTAAAACATTAGCATATATCAAGTTGGGACTGTAGTGGAATAGGGTGTTGTGAAGTATTTTCTGTGAAGAGTCACTTTACTTGTATTACAGAGGCAGGATAAAGGATAATTCATTAAATAGTCTATATGTATTAATTAAGGTTAATGTAATGTAAATATGTATGTATAATGAGAAGTGTTGCGATTCATATAGTAAGGTACCTTCACATAGGAAAGTTGCTTGTATAAAACTAATAAAACATGTCAGAACAGTCCTGTAAATAGTGAAGATGTGCGGCATTAGGCCAAAACATATTTTCATTAAGTAACTTGCATGAGAAATGTAATATTAAGTTCTTTCATCCTAGTGAGTGGAAGATCTTCATCTCTGTGCAATTAATTTGGCTCGTTTGCTGGTTAAAATGTGTGTATGTTAAGATGTACCACTTGTACCTGCCATAGTACAGTTTCTGGGGCACAAGGATGCAGACTTCAAAAAACCTACTTTGACTCCTGGATATTGATTTTTAAAATGAGAGTATAACTGTTTCAAATTTCAATCTTCAGCAGTAATTGCATTTAAAATTTGGTCTCATTCGGGATTATATAAGGACACAATGCCCTGGTCCCTAACAAGCTGCTTTACTTCTATGATTGTCAGACTGCTACACTGCATTGTATTACTTCACCGTGCTTAAGGTGTAAACTATAAAAGTATAGAAGTTTTTCAGTTCTTTTTAACAAGTAGGGTTATGGATAAAGCAGTATAATATAAGACTGAGTATTATGTGTTCTTATCTATGATCTTTGTAGTGTTCTGTTGTTGGCGTTGTTGTTGTTGTTGTTGTTGTTGTTGTTGTATATGTTATTGGATGCTTATAGGTTCTGTATGTTGTGGTGGCTAGAGTGTGTGGCATAGAAACATTCCCTGGTGTGGTCTCTTCAGCTGTGGTGGTTAGTGCTTGCTTCACTTGAGTACCAGTGTCATCAAGTTTTTCTGAGTCAGCGCATATTTTTTCAGGATTTATTTTTTCAGCACTGGTCCCATAAATGTAATTTTATTATGATATGGTCACCTAATCCTTCCAGCACTATGGCCCTGGGGTCGACTGAGCCTCTGACAGAAATGAGTACAAGAATTAATTAAATAATTTTCCTGGGTAGTAAAGCACTGCTGGCACGTAAGGCTGACAGCCTTACCGCCATCTTTGAGCCGATTGTCTACGTAATGAGGGACCCTTGAGGTCTCACAACCCTATGGGCCTTCATGACCCTGTTACAGGGATAGCTTTACTTTTACTTTTTTTTTACTTAATATGATCAGTATAGGGGGGAATGTGATAGCGTAGTTGGTTGAGGCACAATGCTACAAGCCAGAGGGTTGCGGATTCAAGTCCCGATGAGGTCATTGGATTTTTTTCATTTGACCTAATCCTTCCAGCCGTGCTATGGCCCTGGGGTTGACCCAGCCTCTAACAGGAATGAGTACCAGGAATATTCTTGGAATACTCTTGGTAAAGGGTGGCTGGTGTGTAGGGCTGACAACCTTGCCGCCATCTATGAGCCGATTGTCTAGAGAATGTGGAACCTCAACGTCTCACAACCCTATGGGCCTCCACGGCCAGTTACAGGGATAGCTTTACTTTTGTTTTTACTTACTTTTATAGTTGGTATAGTTTGCTTGCAAACTAAAGCCATGGAGTATTTTAATTATTATAAATCATTTCTTTACATAGCACTGCGCTGTCAGGGCACTTCCTTTGAAACTTTCTCTGCTATTTCCCCCATGAAGAAGTTGTACAAAGGCATCATACAGGAACACATCTCTTCAACGTTGTGTTTCACCACACCCTGAACTGTATTTGTATAAACATGCTAAGTATCAGTGCTATTAAGATAAGCCCATAGACACTGGGTAATGAAGTGGCAGTATGACAGACAGCATTGGAGAGGAGAAGGGGAACAAATTTCTACCTGCTTTCTAAGAGTAATTCCATCTCCTGTACGTGGTGATGGTGAAAAACTTTGAGTTTATCCATGATAAATTTAATGGAGAATGAGCAAGTTGACTGAGGCAGTGACAGTTCTAATTTTCTTCAGATGTTGTCAGATACAAATCTTAGCTGGGACACCCACTGTCCTGACTGTTTCTTTTTATTTTTGTGGTTTTCCTGAATTTTGCTGAATAAATGCTTCGATAGTACCTTGGAACAGCTCATAGCAGCTTCCACACCCTTGTTCATTATTAATTCTGCTGTTCAGTTCTCTATAGTCATCACTAAATAAACCATAAATAAGAAATACACAACTTTTGCCTCAGTAAAGTGTTCCTCCTAACAAGAAAATAAGTGGTTCTAAGCAGTAACAACAACAAACAAACAGATAGACAGACATCATTGTTATTGTCATCATCATCATCAGCAGCAGCATCAGAAACAGCAACAAGAACAAAAGTAACACCAATTTTTAACATGTACACGTGACAGTATTTATAATTTCAAGCAACAGAAAATTCTTATTCAGGTAGAATTTGATCATATGTCAGTATGGACAAAAGTCCATCATGCTCTGCTATGCAATAAATTGTATTATCATTGATTGATTATAAATTTGCCTTACAGAAATATAGCATTAACAATACAAGATTCATACAGCTGGATATTCTCTGCAGTAAGTGTATAGGCACTGGATTTTTCAGTTGACTTAAGCATTCCAGTCACACTATGGCTATGGGGTTGACTCAGCCTCTAATAGAAATGAGTACCAGAAATCTTCCTGGGGCTTAAAGGGTGGCTGCCACATGAGGCTCACAGTCTCACTGCTATAGGTGAGCAGATTGTCTAGAAAATGTGGGAGCCTTGGCCTCTTGCAAACCCTATGGACCTCTATGTCCTGTTACAGGAATAACTTTACCGTTTTCCTTTTTTTACCTTTTACTGCCTGCTAAATGCTGTGAACAAGAAGGTTTAAATGAATCCTGCAAATATGAATCCATTAGTGCATCAAATATCTCATGGATGTACTTAGTTAGTTATTAGAGAGGGTGGGTTTCCCCATGCACTTAGACCTGTAGCGGTCCATTGTGCTTCCCTCTATATCCTACCAGTATTGGTGCTTACCATCAGTCTCGCCCAGCCAGCGAGACCGGCTCTGCTGGCTGAGAGGAATCTATAATGCTTCCCCCATCTACCGGAGGTAATAGTGACTGCTGTTGGGCGGGAAACGTCCGCAATTTTGGCTCAGTGACATCCTTTGGAGGTATGAGGTTTTTTTATGTGCCGTAAAGCTACGACACGGGACCCACAGCTTAAAGTCCCTCCCGGAGGACTTGCTCCCTGAATTTTTCCGCCCTTAAAAATTTGACGACCTCCGTCGGGTATTTGAACCCGTGTACTACGAGTCATGAGGTGGGAACGTTACCTCTAGACTACGGAGGCCGCTTCTCATGGATGTAAGTTATACTACATGCCTGTGATACATTTTGTACACTTATTTTTGTTAGTTGAATAACCAAGGCGACTGCCTCTGTGGTCTAGTGGTCAGAGTTCCTGCTTACAGATCCAGAGGTCTGGGTTCGATTCCCAGTGCTACCAGATTTTCTCTATTATTTATGTACCAAGTCTACAGCTACAGTGCCAGTTATAGAAGCAACTATTAATTACATTACAGACAAACAGAAGAACAGAGGCAACATCCAGAGTGCCAGTTTAGAAAATGGCACAGTGGAAAAAATACTGTTCCTACCTAATGCAACAAAGAAACCACAAGGACAGTATGAACAAGTATGACAAAGCCAGTAAGAGTGATTATAAATACAATTGAGAGAAACTGCTTTGATTTAAAAATATGTTGAGGCCCTTAACGACTATGGCAGCATTGGCGCATCAAGCAGATAGATGATATTTAATTG